GGGGGGTATTTGGGGTGCTGGGAGCGGGACGGGGTGGCCCCCCCGGGCAGGCGGTTGCGTGGGAGATGTTAAGCCCCTCAGCTGCTGGTCGGAGCCATCACGGCACCTCCGGGTGCCACTGGCCACGGGGTCTGCCCCACGGCCACCGTGCAGCTGCGCCTGCCGCTCCCTGGGGAGCACTGGCCGGGCGGCTGCGGTGGCCACTGGGCTCCCACATGGCGTGGGGGGATGTGGGAGGGGGTCCCACAGCCCCTTGTCGGAGCCGTTGGAGGTTGATCCCCTCCAGCAGATGGTGGCATCCCCACGGGGGGCTCTGCCTCCGGTGCCCGGTCTCCTACCACCCACAGAGAAGTCCTGCCAAGGTGGATGTCCCTTCCCTGTCCCCTGAGGGCTGTGTTTGGGCCGTGCCACTGACCACCCACCCATCTTTGCAGGAGCCCGGGATGAACGGCTCGGTGGCAGGGCCCCCCGGCGAGTGCGTGCCCAGCGACCCGGTGCAATTCCTGCTGGTGCCCGCCGTCTACTGCCTGGTGCTGTGCGTGGGGCTACCGGGCAACCTGGTGGCCTTGCTGGTCTTCCTGCAGAGCGGCAAGGTGAGGAAGGCCATCCGCATCTACCTCATCAACCTCACGCTGGCCGACATCCTCTTCAACCTCACCCTGCCCCTCTGGATCCCCTACTACCTGGCGGGGGGGGACTGGCTGCTCTCGGAGGCCGCTTGCCGCCTGGCCGGGGCCGCCTACTACCTGGCCACCTACAGCGCCGTCACCTTCATGGCGCTCATCAGCTTCAACCGCTACTGCGCCGTGCGGGCGGCGCGGCGGGCGCTGCCGCTGACGGGGCGACGGGGGGCCTCCTTGGCTTGTGCCCTGGCCTGGCTACTGGGGCTGGGCTGCTCCGTGCCCACCCTGGTCGCCCAGCAGACTTTCCCCACTCGCTCCGGGGCCACGGCCTGCTTCGAGCAGCACGGCCGGCAGCGGGCCTACGCCTACGCCATGGTGGCCTTCTTCGCCGCTGCCTTCCTGGTGGTGCTGGGCACCTACGCCTCCATCGCCCGGGCGCTCTCCGTGCCCCCCGGCACCGCCACTGCCACACCGGGCTCCCACCGGCAGCAGGCACGCGCCATGGTGCTGGGGATGCTGCTGGTCTTCGTGGTCTGCGTGGCCCCCTACCACCTCACGCTGGCCCCCTGGGTGGGCAGCCGCCCCCCTGTGCCCCCCTGCCAG